TTTCTATGGAACTGGAAGTGTTTCCCTTCCATGTTCCCTGATGCCCATCATTACCTGAGCTCCATTATATTATGAAGAGATCTGGGATTAACTGCCCGTGAGAATTTCCGGATAGTTATTTACATCAGACCTTCACTGAAAACTTTGAACTTGGGACTGAAATTTATGACGTGCAGTAAAAACGCAGGAAGCCTAGCTCCAAAAATATGTCACTTGTTTAGCTTGAATTATTTATAGTGCTTCAGAGTATACTGATAAAAATTCACCAATACATACCATTTAACAAAGAAAAACAAGTAGCAACAGAAGTCCTCAGCTGCTATTTAATCTCTATTGAGATCTTGGAGAAACTGCTAATTTTTTATTCAGACTAGATAACACTGAGATTAGCAATCTTCTGTTGTACATGTAATTCAAAGGGGGGCCTTTTCATACAAAATAAGATTTTGTGAATATGTGTGCATATTTACAGCTGCTTGTGCTACCAGCACTGTTGTTCTGAGCTTGACATCTGCTGCCTTTGAAAAAATTCGGTCATTCTGAATACACAAAGTTTTTGATTTCTGCCCATGTCATCTTGCATAGCTCTGTCTCCTTTGTCTACCCCTGCAGAATACTGTGGACAAACTCATTAAGAAGACAAACTTAGCCCTTGTAGTTGGAACAAACAGCTGGAGAGAACAGTTTATTGAAGCTATCACTGTCAGTGCTGGTAAGTTCCTATCTCTTCATGTAGTGAATTATGATAAGCTGCTCTCTTGTCTTAGTTTTGCTATATCAATAACACTTCCACAATAGCATGGCAGGAGATTACAGCAGAGGCAAAACAGATAAGAAAGTTATTCAAAGAATCTACATAAATCATTTGATTAGAATGTTTAATGAGATCACCTCATCTGATATACAGGAAATCTTCTATAATAAGCATATCTGTAGAGGCTGGTAGAAAAAAAAACCTGATTTTTATAAAATGTGGTAGGGAAAGGCTAGGTCAGCGATTAGGAAATTCTTTGCAAGTTGTTTATTAGGTATCAAAGTCAGAGTGATGGAGGCCAGATTCCCAGATGTGTACACAGGTAGTGTCCCAGTCTCATTCTCCATATCTCTGCCCCATTTAGACTGGCTAGTCCCCTCAGGCCTCACCTGTAGCAAAGGCTGCTGTATCAGTCACCTGACCCAAAGAGCAGAACCGGTTAGAAAGTTATTGTGCAACTTGTGCAGTTTGTGGCACTGCAAAGAGGTTTGCAGTACTACAAACCACACGTGCCTGCAGGTCTGGATCCAGCCAACAAGGATGTAAGGGATGTGGGGGGGTCTCATATTCTGCCTTACTGCTTCGTAAAGGAACTTGCTTCAAGCCACAGGCTAGCACTGCATAATGGCCAGGGGGCCATAGATGGTAGATCTTTCCTCATCTGCAGTAGCTGCAGAGTGGGGCAATGTGATCCTGCTACAGGCACAAGGCAGGTGCTCTCTATCCTTGTATCCTCATGCCCTGTGCTGGAGACCCCTTTAAACATGTTTAAATTCTTGCAAGGCTAGATGTGACTAGCTGAAAGAATAGCTTCAGGATCAGCTGACGGTAGATACAAGGGGGCAATAAAATCCAAGCACAGGGCTTAATCTTCTACCGCTCTGCAACATTTGTTCCAAGAGCAACCAAGTGCACAAATCAAGCAAGGGTTAGAAACTTCCCCAGGCAAGTGTTGGGCATCAGTCAAAGCCACTGTCCCAGCTAGAAGCATCTGCCTTGGGGGCTGGAGAACTTTATTCTGCTCAGGGCTACTCTGAAGGGAGCCGCTCTGGGTCTTTTCTCCAGGTTCCATCTGGGGAAACTGCAGAACCCATAGCAATGAAGCTGAAAAAGCCGCGATTCAGCTGAGAGCAGCAGAATACCCCTGCAAAGTGGAGGGATTTCCATCTCTGGAATCTGCTGTTAGTTGCCCCCTATGTATGTGTAGAAAGTGTCATTGTTCAGCCCAAAAAAGGATGCAACTGATTTTCTCAAGAAGCTCCTTATTTTATTTTGTGTTTCATTTTATTTTGCTGCCATGTTTCTAAAGCTATGTGCACAGAAAGCTGCTTCTCCTTGGAAAATAAGGAATAAAGAACGGGAATTCAGGGAGAAAGGGCATTTCAGCAGCCAGGATAGTCAGGAGGGATTTGAGACACATGAGTTCAGTTCACCACTGTGCCACACACTCCTCCTGTGCTCCTTGACAAGTCACTTTAGGGGGATTTTCAAAGGCACAGGGGTAGCAATGGGTTCATCTCTCCACCAAAATTCAGCAGAATTTGGGACCTAAAGGTCATTCCTACCTTGGTAAATCTTGCCCTTAGACCCTCAGTAAAATGAGGACAAATGCATATCTGTGCCTACCCAGTCTGCTGTGAGGGTAAATATATTGGAGATGTTGAGATTCTCAGGCAGGAGGGTAATAGGCACGTGACAGGGTTTGCAGGCCCCATGTGACAAAGACAACAAAAACCCAAGGCATCTTAGGGCCCAGAAGCAATCTAGGCATTTAGGCAGCCAATCAGGGGCCAAGCCTAAGTGCCAGCAGGGTATATAATGGAGAGGCAGGGCAATCAGTGGAGAGTGCTGGAGCTGAGAGATGCTTTTGTCTCAGAAGTAGATTTTTCCTTGAAGGGGAACTCAAAAAGGGGAGTGTTTAGAACAGTGGCTTTCAACCTTTTTTCATTTGTGAATCCTGAAAAAGTTTTGAATGGAATTGCAGCCCCCTTTGAATTGTAAGTGTGGGTATTCACATACTTTTGATTAATCATAGTCATCTTTCACAGACCCCTTAGACAGTCTGCAGACTCCCAGGGGTCCGTGGACCATAGGTTGAAAAACACTAGTTTGGAAGGATGGGGGAGAGGATTGAAAAATACTTCTGCAGAGTATGGGGAAGAGGTCACTATATGCAGTGCACTCTGTCGCACCATTTCTATATTCAGGTGCCTGATATAGAAAGTTATTTCAACTTTAGTCTTTCTTATCTGGAACCCTAATTATTTCCATTGCCCTTGAATCTCTCCTCATGTCACAGGAATGGCAGCTTGCTGTACTGTGCACTGGCTATCCACCAGGCTTCACTCCAGATGATCCAAGGCCAGGTCTGCTCTAGGGAGTATTACCAGCAGAGGAAAGTAGAAAAAAAATGCACCCACAAAGCCACTGGTGGCAGCTTGCAGATATGCCACTAGCTTATTAGCTATTCAGGGAGATGATGTAGCTATCCTGTCAGAAAAAAAACCCTTCTAACAGCATGTGCTGTTTCTGTTATGGGGCTCTCTGCTGGCACAGCTACATTGGTATAGAGATTGTGGCTGAGGCTGCTCCAGCACAGACATGTCTTGAGTGACGTATTGACATGGGATGTGCTGGGCACCAAAGGGAAAATCTATCCAGAAGCTCAGAGAGCTTTCCCATCAGCAGGCTGGAGAAGTGCCATCACCCACACTTGATTTTTCTGCCATGCTCAGTATGGGAGGGTGGCTCGAGGAGGGAAGCAAAAGCCAGATAACAAGACATGATCCATATGCAGAGTTAGGATTATTTTAGCGCTTCATCTGGCTCCTTTTTGCAATGGTATCTGAGTGCCTAGCCGTGATTTTATCTCCTATGTAAAGATGGGATAATGAAGCACATAAGAGTTAAAGAATTTACCCAAGATTATGCAGAGGTCTGTGCCAGGGAAGGGTGCTGAACATAACTCTCCCATGTCCCACGTCAGTGTTCTAACCATTGCTCCATCCTTCTTGCCCCGAGTAGACCTTTGGAGCTGCCAGGAATAGCAACTAGTCAGAATTTCACTCTGGGGCCCTGTAGTGGCAGGCTGAGGGCTGCCATGCATTTCCAAGTGAAGCACAGAAGCTGCTTGTTGACAGCTCTGTGGAAGGATCAAGGCCCTCACATTAGGAAATAGCAAGTCCTTTGAAGAAAACCTGGCTATGGGACTGGGCTAAGACTTGAGCTCTGTGCATTTGCAGCTGTGTTACAGAGTTCTCTGTTCAGTGGCTGGGAGGGACTGTGCAGGATTAGGATTGCAAATGACCTAGATAGATTGGAAAAGTGGTCTAGAATGAATAGAGTGAAATTCAGTAAGAACAAGGGCAAAGAATAATACTCAGGGAGGACTATTCAAATGCAGTAGGAGGGATGACTGGATGGGCTATAGTACTGCAGGAAAGAATCTACAAGTTATAGTGGATTATATAGCAAGCATGAGTAACAGGGTAGCATTGTTGCAAAAAGGCAACTAGCATCCTGTGTATTAGCAGGA